TCTCTCTCTCTCTCTCTCTCTCTCTCTCTCTCTCTCTCTCTCTCTCTGGTTAGAGGGATGGCACAGTAGTTAAAAGCATTTACTGCTTTTGCAGAGGACCCAAGTTCTATTTGGCTCACAACCACCTAGAAGTCCAGTTCCGTGGGATCCAATGCCGCCTTCTGACTTCCTTGGCACCAGGCATGAACACAGTGCACATACATACGTGTAGGGAAAACACTTCATACACATAAAATAAAACTGAAAATAACTTGGGAGGCAGAGGCAGGCGGATTTTTGAGTTCGAGAGTTCGAGGCTAGCCTGGTCTACAGAGTGAGTTCCAGGACAGCCAGGGCTACACAGAGAAACCCTGTCTCGAAAAACCAAACCAAACCAAAAAAAAAAAAAAAAACTGAAAATAAAGAAAGGGGAGTGGGGAGATGGCTCTCAGATGGTTATGCAGTTAGGGGTGCTTCTTTGGCCAGGTGGTGGTGGCGCATGCCTTTAATCCCAACACTCAGGAAGCAGAGGCAGGTGGATCTCCAAATTTGAGGTCGGCCTGGTCTACAGAGCGAGTGCCAAGACAGCCAGGGCTACACAGAGAAACTCTGTTGCAAAAACACCAAAAATTAATTAATTAATTAATTAATTAAAGCAAACAAAAACTAGTAGTTGAAGCTTCTGCCTTGGAGGAGTTTGTAACCCAGGAAGTCATTTCTACATGAGATAGGATCACGACTCCCTGACTATACCCATTGTCCTGTACTTAGCATGTTTTCCCTGTTGCCTCAGACACATCTTTGTGCCAGCCATGGTTGTCCACACCTGTAATCCCACCTGTGAGGAAGATCATTCTCAGATACACACGGAGGCTGGGATATGTGAGACCCTATCTCAGAAAACAAGAAAAAAAAATCCTCCCTCGTGGGCTTGTCATCATGAGAGAGAGTCCCTGGGGAGTCCAGATTCGGTTTCTGTTCATCCTGAAATGCGGAGTAGACATGGCATCTGGAGATGGTAGCATCCAGAAGGCTGGCACACAGGGATGGAGAAAGCTGGTCCCAGTGACCTACGCTGTTACCCACCTCTGATATCCATCCCGGTTACATCTGCCCCTCCCCTGTCCAGGAACACCTCTGGCACTGAAGCAGCTCCCCAAGCACTCCACTTCCCTCCGTGGCTTCCTGTATGAATTCTGCGTGGGCCTCTCACTGGGCACACATTCAGCCATCGTGGCAGCCTATGGCATTGGTATTGAGTCAACCAATTCCTACAGCTTCCTGACAGAACCTGTTCTCCATGGGGACCTCATCACCTTCATCCAGCCCAAGGTGAGTAGGTAGGCCCTGAGCATGCCTTCGTGAGCCTCGCCAGCAGTTATGGGAAGCTCCAAACAATATGATCCACAGGAATTATGTTCACTGTGTTCGGACACACTGGATTTTCTGAGTCACTTTAGATTTTGTTGACTGTCCTGTTGAGATTAACCAACCCTCACAAGCTCATAGTCTTCTCTGTGGGAGTTAACAGGCCTCATGGGCTCTCTGGGATCCGTCAGTTCACACCAGGCCTCACAGATCTCTTCAGGTCACACGCTCATGCTAAGCCTCAGCATTCTTACAAGCTCATGGGACTTGTAGGCTCACACGAGACTTCAGGGACCTCAGAAGTTCACAGGCCTCACAAGCTCACACTAGATCTTACAGGCCTGAAGTCCTCAAAGGCTCGACAGGCTTGCACCAGGCCTCAGGGACTCCTAGGCCATACAGGCTCACACTGGACCTCATAGGTCTCACAGGCTCACATCCTCACAGACACACGCTATGCCTCACGAAAACCTTGGTAGTTTACACCTGACAGGCTCACACTGGGCCTCACAGGCTCACAGGCCTCACCCCCACACAGGTTCACACTAATACTCACACGAGATCTCAGAGGTTTTGTACTGGGCCTCATAGGCATTACAGTCTCGAAGGACTCACAGGCTTCTAAGCCTCGGAAGTTCACAGTAGGCTTCGCAAGGCTCACAGGCCTCACAGGCTTAAAGTAGGCCTCCCAAGGGTCACAACTCTCACCAGATCCCACAAGACCTCACGAGGGTCACAAGTCTCACAGACCTACACAGAGGCCTCACCAAGTCACGCTAGGCAGGCCTAGGCCTCGCTGGTGTGACCTGTTTGTTGGCCTTTTCAGCTTTCCCCGCAGCATCTGTACATGGGATTCAAAAGAAGCCCTCCTTTTGCGTTTTCCCTCAACAGCTGGGGGAGCAGTGTACATTCACCATCTCTCCCCCTGCAGGTGGGTCTCCCACAGCCAGCCACCCAGCGCTGTGCAGCCCAACTGGCCTCTGCCTTGGAGCACATTCACTCCCATGGCCTGGTGTACCGGGACCTGAAGCCAGAGAATGTGTTGGTGTGTGACCCAGCCTGCCAGCGTGTCAAGCTGACAGATTTTGGCCACACCCGGCCCCGAGGGACCCTGCTCCGTCTCACTGGGCCACCTATCCCCTACACTGCCCCTGAACTCTGTGCCCCACCACCCCTTCCTGAAGGACTACCCATTCAACCTTCCCTGGATGCCTGGGCTCTGGGGGTCCTGATCTTCTGCCTTCTTACTGGCTACTTCCCCTGGGACCAGCCCCTGGTGGAGGTTGACCCTTTCTTTGAGGATTTTCTCATCTGGCAGGCTTCTGGCCAGCCCCAAGACCGGCCACAGCCATGGTATAGCCTGTCACCTGCAGCAGACACTCTCCTGTGGGGGCTGCTAGATCCTCACCCCCGGAAGCGGAACCCTGTGAGCTCCATCAAGAGCTATCTAGGCCAACCCTGGAAGCTGAGGGAGGGGGAGACTGAGGAATTGGCAAAGGAGCTGAGAGAAGACGGGTCTCTAGGAGGACAGGAGGCTGCAAAGGGGGAGCAACCGGCATGCTGAGACCTGCTTAGCCTGAGCTGCCTAGCTGTGGCCTCTTCTCTGTCTTCAATCTGTCCCTTATCTGTCCTACATGTTGTCTTTGTCCCTCCTTAATGCTGTGCGTGTGTTTGTGAATGTACACACGTGCGTTTATATGTGCACATATGTATGTATGTATGTATGTATGTATGTATGTATGTGTATATATATGTGTGTGTGTGTGTGTATCTGTGTGCATGCACATATGTGTGTGTACATAGCATGTGTGTATATGTGTGTGTGTAGTGCTATGTGTAGGTCAGAGGAGTTTTAGGAGTCAGCGCTCTCCTTCTACCTTGGGGCCCAGCTATGGAACTGAATGAATTCTTGTATGCCTTCAAGTGTCTTTAGCTACAGGAGCCATCTTGCTGGCTCTGGTCTATATAACTCTGGATCCTCCTGCCTCAGCTTCCTGAGTCCTGAGATAGCAGGCATGCACCATGCTCGGCTGTCCTGCATAACTCTGTGCCATCTCACCCACTTTAACTAGTCTTCCCCACAAACCCAGGTAAAATGCCCACCTGCTGTGAACGTCACAATCCTAAGCCCCCCTACACTCGATGTTCCTTCTATTTACTTCTGTGGTGTGCACTGAAACTTTGCTACCTGTTCACTTATTTTTGGAGCTCCCAGAGGGTGGGTTTTGGCCCCTGAAGGACTGACGCTACATCTCTGAGCAATGCCCAGGCTGCAGTAGCAGCCAAATGAGTAGACAGTCACATCTTCTCAGCATCGCTCCCCACCACGTGGGCCTCTTGTCACTGTCCAACTGGCTTTCTCATCCCATCTTCTCGAATGCAGCTTCACCTCACTCAGATCTGCTCTGGCTTCTGTCGCTCACCCACCTGCATGCTGGGACCCACCCTCTGTGTGAGGTACACTTGTCTCAGCTGCTCTCTGCAAATAAAGTTCCCCTGGCAACTGAGTCTTGTGCTGTGACTCTGTTCACTTGGGAAAGACTGGGAGGAGCAGAGATAGAGTCACTCATAGAGACAGAGACACCCACAGAGACAGAGACAAACAGAGACACAGAGGTAGGTCGTAAGGCCAACTGGTACTTCGGTAAGGACCCCCACATTGGGCCGCTCTTACATGGAATCTGTGATGGCAGGTATCTAAATATCGTTTGGATAGCTATTTAATTTTTAATTTTAAAGACACTCAATCATTATATATATGTTCATGCCACCACATGCCTGCAGAGGCAGAGGACAACTTGGTGCAGAAATTGGATCCGTCCTGTTGACAGACTTAGAGGCAGGTGCCTTTCCCTGAGCCGTCTCACCTATCCAGTTTTTACAGTTTGGTTTTGTTTTAGTTTCTATATTTCACTCTGTAGCCGTGGCTGCCCCAGAACTCACTATGGAGACCAGGCTGGCCTCAGATTCAGAGACCCACTTGCATCTACCTCCCAATGCTGATATTAAAGGCATGTGCTATCAAACTCCCCATTTTTAAAAAATTATTTTCATTTCATGTGCATTGGTTTTGCCTTCCTATATGTCTGTGTGAGGGTGTCAGATTCCCTGGAACTGGAGTTATACTCAGTTGTGAACTTCCATATGGGTGCTGGGAATTGAACCAGGGTCCTCTGGAAGAGCAGCTAGTGTTCTTAACTACTGAGGTGTCTCTCCACCCTTCTCTTTTTTTTTTTTTTTTTTTTTTTTTTTTGGTCAGGATTTCACATAGGGCAAGCTGCCCTCAAACTCTCTGTGTAGCTGAGGATGATCTTGAACTCGTCATCCTCCTGTCTGCACTTCCTCAGGGTTGAGATTACAGGCATGGTGGGTTTATGCGGTGCTAGGATTCTAACTCTGGGCTCCATGTGTGCGGAAACAGACACTCCAGCAACAGAGCCACACCCCCAGTCCCAGGAGCTGATTAATTCTACGAGTCTTCTTTATTCTACCTAATGAGAGAGAGTCTGTGTGGTGTCAATGTGATGAAAACACAGTTCTGGCTGGGAGCATGGCTCAGTCGGTGGAGTGCTGGCCAGGAGAGCATGGAGACCCGAGTTCCAACAATTTTAAGGGCATTCTTTTAAAAATCCTTGCACTGAGAATGGAGACGGGCAGACCTCTGAGGTTCCCTGGCCTTCCAACCTAGCCTAATCTATGAGTCCTAGGTCCCAGAGAAAGACCCTGTCTCAAAAAACAAGGCCACTCATGGTATTTTGTGGGAGATAACATTTTGTGAATATTGTGTCTGAGTGTTTGAGCCTGTGTCTGTCTAAGAGATCTTGTACGTGAGCGTATGCATGCATCCATGTGTGTGCCCATGTACACACGCTTGTGTCAGCACAGCTGGGCAAGGAAGGTCAGACAGGAGCCCCAGCCAGTCCCCAGTCCTCACCCATCTGGTTCCTTGCTCCTTCTCACCTGCTTCCCCCCAGCCCCTTCCTGGCACCCACCTTGTTTGCAAACACTCTCTTCCTCTCCATGCCCTGCTTGGCTGCTGGCCCAGACCAAAGCTACAACTCAGGAATGGATCATGTGTCACTGGCTCCCAAGCCCCCTGCACACACTCCCAGTACCCCTGCTGTGGCTACGAGGTGCTGCCTGGTGGGGGCTGATAGACCATGTGTGTCTGCGTGTGAAATGACCCCAAGGATCCCTGGATTCTGAGTTCCAGCCAAAGCGGCAGGGATGACAGTTGCTATCCTGGGCAGCCAGTGGGGCGCCTGAGAATAGAGGCTCTTCAGAAAGAATAGATGGAGACAGCAAAGGGGGTGAGCTGTGTCAAGACGTCCTGCCACCTCCTCCGTGGATCTAAAATAGCATGAGCAATTAGGCCAAGAATGTGTCCCATAAAAGCTGGAGGTGCCTGAGAAGAGGGTGTCGCTGGGTAAGCGGGGACGCGAGGCCAGTGGGGCGCAGGGGCGCCTGTGCATTTGTTAATTGGTGGTGGCAGCTGAGGATTAGCTGGAAGGTGACAATGACAAGGCACCAAGCTGAGCAGCAGGGGAGGGCTGAAGAGTCCTAGGGAGGGTCCAAGGGGAAGGACAACACTAATTAGCAACTCTAACAGCACCGGTTCACCCCAAGGGCACCCACCTCTCACAGCCGCTCCCTGCTCACTAACTCCTCCTTCTTAGCATGCCAGAGGGGTCCCTGGGACAGCCACACTTCACCTTTCAGGCTGTGGTGCTGCGCAGCAGTCACAGCCTGGTCAGAGCTCACACACTTGCCAGCAGTAGAGCTGGAATTCAAATCCCAGAAGCAGCCTCACTGTTGAGCCACAGGGGCGTGAGAGAAGGGGCATGGATACCCGTGAGAACGCATATGCAGCCACAGCCACTAGGGTGTGGAAGAAATTGAGTATATGTTTGCGTGTGAGTGTGGGTGGGTGTGACACACGAGGGTGCGAGAGTGGTCGCAGGAGTCTGTGAGGTGGGAGTGATTGTGGGAGTGTGCGTGCATACAGAAGTTATTGTGGTGTGAATGTGAACCTTACGTGCAGGGTGTGTGTGTGGGTGTGACTATGAGATTGTGCTGGTATGTGCAGGAGTCGAGACATGACCGTGAAAGTGAGTGTGATAGGAAATGTGAGGGTGGAGACGAGCAAGCGCACAACTGTGGACGTGAGTACAAGTGAGTATGAGCATACACTAGTGTGCATGAGTGAGTGTGGGGGTGCTGGGACTAGTGTGATCATAATCGTGGTTTCCTGAGTGTGCAAGGGTGGGTGCAAATGCAGAAATCTGAAGAATCTGAAGTGTGGGGTGTAAGATTGAGTGTACATGTGGATATGATAGTATTTGTGCATTCGGAGGTGAGCATGAGTGTGAGCAGGTGTGAATCTGAGTGTGCACCAGTGTAGGTGTGGAAGTAAATGGATGTACATGGGCATGAGTGTACACATGTGTGTGTGGAGGTTATTGCTAGGGCTAATGGGATAGCGTGTCTGTGTATGAGGGTAGGTGTGAATCTGAGTGTGCGTGTGTACAAGAGTGAATCGAATGGTGTGGAAAATAAGTGCAAATATGAAATGTGGGTGGGAGTGTGAAGACTGCTCATATGTGCAGGAGTATGGATGTGAATATGAGAGTGAGGAAGAGTGTGTGATGTCATTCATGTAAGAATGTTCACTGTGTGCAAGAATATGTGTGAACATGAAGTACTCGTATGAGTATAAGGGTGGGTGTGAACATGAGGGTTTGTGTGCTCAAGAGTGAACACAGGTGTGTTCACAGTGAGTGTGAATATGATCTATCCAAGAAAGTGTGGACAAAAGTATAGATGTGAGTGTGTGGGTGTGAGCGTGGGTCTGTTATGTGAGTGTATATGTGTGGGTGTGGAAGTGAGGGCTAGAGTTACTATGATCATGTGCTCAAAGGTGTGTGTGAACCTAAGTATGCACATGAACAAAAGCGTGAATATGAAGTGTGAAGTAGACTCGAAGGTGAATGCCTTTGTCCGTGGGTAAGTATGAGTGAGTGTGGACGTATGTTGTTTGTGTTCACGAAAGAGTCCATGCTGTGTGTGCAGGATCACAAATGTGTGTGTAAACAGGTGGGTGTGAGGGTGAGGGGGTTAGTTGTAAATGTGAGTGTGCAGGTGTGTCCACGGGTGTAAATATGCGTGCAGGCACACAGGAGTGAGTGTGAGCTTGAGTGTGAAAAAATATGAGTTGTGGGCACTGCGGGTGTGGATAACAAGCTAGTGTGGCGTTTCTAAGAGTATGAATGCAAGGGGCAGTTGGAGAGCAAAGGTGTGAATGAGAGAGTGGGTGTGTGCAAGGGTGTGTGAAGACGGCAGGTGTATACGTGGATATGCGTGGGCATGTGTGAGCTCAGGTTGGGAGGGAAATGGGGGGCTGCTTAAGTGTGAGGTGGAGATGAGTACACTTATGTTGCCGAGGTGTTTGTGTGAGAAGCTGGGCCCCTCACACACTGGAGCATTTACCATCAGCTGGGACCAGTAAGAGCTATCGGTGAGGAAAGGTGCTTGCTCCCGAGCCAGGGCTAGGGAGGTGAGGCAGGGGGATCCCCTCGCCAACCCCTTGGTGAACTCCAGGGTTAGTGAGAGACTGTTTCAAAAAACCGGGTAAACCAGGTGATGGCGGCACATGTCTTTATTCCCAGGACTCGGGATGCAGAGGTAGATGGATCTGAGTTCAAGGCCAGCCTGATCTAGAGAATGATCCAGGACAGCCAGGGCTACACAGAGAAAACTTGTTGGGGTGTGAGGGGTGGAGATCAGGTGGATTTTTGCAGTGTATGGTAGTTTAACAGAGAAACCCAACTGGTCAAAGGTCTGAGAACAAGGGTCTGAGTGTTTAGCCCTCAGCCGGACATCTAAGTCGCCCTGTCCATCTCGAAGGAAGAAGCGAGGTTGTAAGAATGGGAGGGTGGGAAGGAGGGCTGGGAGACACTGCTTTCCGGATGTGACGTGCGCCTCCTTCCGGATGTTCCGGATGTGACATGGCCGCCGCTCTCAGGAGCTCACCAAAGCTGTAGTTGTCTACACCAGGTTGGGCGCATCGTGGATGGAGAGAGGCTCGTGAGCACCCCACTCCCTTCTGAATGGCTCCTGGTAGTTCATTGTTGAGGGGAGGGGAGGGAAAGTGTCGTCTTCTTCAGCATTGTAAGTAGCCACAACTAAACTCAATGGGAACATTAAAAACAACCATGAAACTAAGAAAACCTGCTGGGCTTGGGAGGCAAAGGCAGGCGGATTTCTGAGTTCGAGGTCAGCCTGGTCTACAGAATGAGTTCCAGGACAGCCAGGGCTACACAGAGAAACCCTGTCTCGAAAAGCCAAGAAAAAAAAAGAAAGAAGGAAGGAAGGAAGGAAGGAAGGAAGGAAGGAAGGAAGGAAGGAAAGAAAGAAGACCTGCTGGGAAGAAAGGCTCTGGCAGGAGGGGAGCGGCATGAAGGAGGAAGACAGAATGAAAATGACCAAGATTCATTATATGCCGGGATGA